ACAAGAAGAAGAAGGGCAAAAAGGGTCTGGTCGAACCGGAGCCTGAACCAGAGCCTATCCCCGAACCCGAACCCAAATCCGAGCCAATCAAGGAAGCAGAGCCGGTGGAGGACGACGGCTGGGGCTTCGGTACCACGGCCAAGAAAGACAAGAAGAAGAAGGGCAAGAAGAATCTTGACCCTGAACCTCAGCCTGAAATCGTGCCTGAAGTTCCCGAGCCGGAGCCAGAGCCAGAGCCGGAACCCGAGGTCAAAAAGGAAGACTTCTGGGGTGCGGTCTGGGGCGCGGCAAATGGGGCCAAGAAAGACAAGAAGAGAGAATCTCTTATTGATGAATTCAAGGTCGAGGAGGCTCCAGCGGAAGAAAGCACGAGCCTCTGGGGTACCTTTGGCACTAGCAAGACCGACAAGAAGAAGAGCAAGAAGTCGTCGAATGCTATCATCAGCTTTGACGAGTTGGAGGAGCCGGTCGCTAAGTCTGGTGCATTCGACAATGACGACTTTGCCAACTCGTGGAGCACAGGCAAGGACAAGGCGAAGTCACTGAAACCCGACACGATCGAGGAGCCTCCTAACGAGGATCTTTGGGGCGTGACGACATCATCAAAAAAGAAGAAGGGGAAGATCAGCAAGAACACACCCGTAGAGGTGACTGGAGACAACAATCTCGAGTCCTGGCAGCCTGACTCGGTCGAGGAGACCAAGGACGAAAAGGTTGAGGACGGCTGGGATTTCGGAGGCAACTCAAAGAAGAAGGGTAAGTCCCGGAAAGAAGCGCTCGCCGACGATCCACCGCCGCCAGCGCCGACACCCCCCTCGATGGACCTCGCTGAACCAGAGCCAGACGACAGCGCGTGGGATGATCCGCCTTCGGCTTCCCTCACGCTAGTCAAGACCAAGTCGAAAGGAGACGATAAGAAAGACAAGAAGAGCAAAGAGAAGGAGGTTAAGCTAACTAAAAAGGAGCGTGAAAAGCTCGAGAAGGAGCAGAAAAAGGCGGAGAAGGAAGAGGAGAAGCGCAAGGCCAAGGAGGCTGAAGAGGCCGAGGAGCAGGCCCGACGTGATGCAGAAGAAGTAGAAGCGCGTGAAGAGGAGGAGCGACGACAGCGAGAGGCAGACGAAAAGGCGCGACTCGAAGCCGAGGAGCAGGCGCGCAAGGATGCCGAGCCTGACGAGGCCGACGAGGAGGAGGCAGAGCTCGCAGCACTGACGGCCAAACAAAAGAAGAAGAAGAAGCTTACCAGGAGCGACCAGGAAAAGTTCGACCGGCTCACCCAGAGCATCCGGCGGCGCGCCGAAGAGAAGGTGGCAGAGGAAGAGAAGGCGCGGGAGCGGGAGGAGGCGCTGAGGGAGGCCGAGGAGCGCGCGATTCGCGAAGCCGAAGAGACGGCGGAACGAGAGCGGGACGAGGCAAATGCAGCAAAGAAGAGCAAGAAGAAGGGGAAGAAGGACAAGGAGAAGGAAAAGGTGCTTGACGACGACGAACTCCAAGGCATCGAACTCACGCCTGAGGAGATCGACGAACTCATGAACGACAGGGGCGGCGCCGATAAGAGCGATAAGACCAAGGCGAAGAAAAGCAAGGCGAGGGACGAGGAGCCAGCCACAGCTGAGGACGATGCGTTCAGCTACTGGGGCGCCAAGAAAGTGGGCAAGAGCAGCAAAAAGAATGTGCCTGAGGCGTCGAGCTGGGACCGTTTAATTACGCAAGCTGAGTCATCAAAGTTTCTGGAAGCTGCCACAGCGATTGGCGCGCCCACCGAGGTGTGGAAGGCCACCTCACCGGCCACACCTGCCACACCGTACGACGCCCGGTCAATGAAGAGCAAGAAGGCTGTCACGGGGAAGATTGCCGACCGCTTGCGCGCATTTGAGTCCCTCGACGAGTCACCCTCATCCAGGTCCAAGGCAGCAGTCCACGATAGCGATAACGACTCAAACAGCAACCAAGACGTGCCGCCACCGCCACCCGCCCCTGCGCCACTCAGGGACGATACTAATAGCAAGAAAAAATTGAAGAAGTCCAAGGAAAAGAGCAGGGCCTACATCGTCGACGACTTCGACCCCGTCTCCGCGCCAATTTCCCCCCCGCCTCCCGCGCGCAGCACACCCCGCTCCGGCTTCCCTAGCAGATATCCCCTCGACGATGACGACGAGATAGTCGGCATCATCGACATGGCCTCGAAGAAGTCCAGCAAGAAGTCGAAGCGCGCATCGACCGCTCCCCAGATCATCGACGATGACGACGACCTGCCTGGTCCTCCCCCACCTCCCGCGCCGCCTGCGCCGCCGGCCGTTCCCGATTCGCCGCCGACGCCCCCTCTCGAAAGCAAGTCGCGCAAAGAGCGCCCCAAGATTAACCGCGATGGCCAGCCGTGGAGCATGTGGACCGCAACCCCCACCAAGGAACCCAAAAAGTCATCGTCGAGGCCTAAGCCCGAAAGAGAGTCGAGCTCGAGGAAGAAGTCTGTTTCGGTCGACAAGGGCGAAAAGTCTTCCAAGGGCTCCTCGTCCGACAAGGACAAGCCCGACAAAATCCGCAGCAGAGAGCCTGCAATGAACGCCCGCTTTGCCAGCGTCTTTGCCAGCACCCCGCCTCTGTCGCGCTCCATGTCGGCGCGCGACAAGCGTAGCATTGGCACAAAGCCGAGTTCGCGTAGGCAGTCGCTAGACATGTCGGGCGCCCTCGCCAGCTCTCTGCCCGAGCCTGCCGAGATGTCAGCCAAGGCAGCCAAGGTCCTCGGTGTCGATACCCCACGGTCGAGCAGCAAGCGCCTCAGAAAGAGTGAGTATCTCCTTAGCCAAGACATCTTAGCAAATGCTAACAAACGCGCAGCCGTCAATGACGACGAAGACGATATTGTGATGGTGGGCGCATCTGATGCCGACCCTAACCTAGGGAGGTCGGATCGGCGGAGATCAAAGGTAGATCACATGCATCCCAACGGCCAAACGCAAGGACATAAGACTAATTTCGAGGTGAAACAGCAATACCCACGAGACGATGATATTGTCATGGTCGATATGGCCGATGCCACCCCTTCGCGGCCAACACTTAAGCGCTCCAACTCAAGTGCCACAAAGAAACCATCTGCATTTTCATCCCTGTTTGGTGCGCGTACGCCTAAACCAGAGTCGCGCGCTGAGCCACGCACTGAGCCCCGCCGTCGCAATACCTACACAACCACAGACGATGAGGGCGCCAGGCGGGGCGGTGAGGCCTCAATGACAGATGCCGAGCGCGAAGCTCGTCGTGAGCGCCGCGCCCGTCGCGCCGAGCAGGAGGCCGCGGGAAAGAATGCAGCCGATGATGCGCGACGCGCCCGGGCTAAGGAGGAGGCTCGTCGCGAGCGCCGCAAACGGCAGGAGGAGGAAGAAAGGGAGGCCCGCCGTGCCGAGCGGCGAGCCGCCCGTGCGCGCGAAGAAGAGGATCGGCGCGCCGCCGAGCAAAAGGAGGCGGAACGAGCTGAGCGCCGGAGAATACGCAAGGATCGCGAAGCGGCTAACGCTGAGGCCGAGGCTCGTCGTGCTACAAGGCCAGATCGACGCCGCAGCTACCAGCCCGACCAGGACGATCAAGATGAGGAAGAAGAACGTCGCCGCCGCCGTGACGCAAGACGGGCCGCCCGCGAAGCGGAAGCCAAGGATAAGGAGCGGTCTTCCCGGCGTAGATCGCAGCCGGTAGATGATTTTGTGTATCCCAGCAAGTCGCGCGAGAACGCAGGGTCGTGGCCCCACTCAGGCACGTCGTCGTGGGTCAAGGACCACTCGGACGCGCCGCCACCGCCGGACAACTCGGATGACGTTGTGGCACCCCCGCCCGAGATGAATGACGAGTCAGCACGTCGCGAGGCCCGTCGGGCTCGGCACCGGGCCAGGTACGCCGATGCGAGCGGAGAGGACTACGACGAAGAGCGCCGGCGGAGAAGACGTCGTGAGAAGAGAGAGGAAGAGAGGGGCGAGAGGGGCGAGAGAGGCGTGCGAGAGCCTCGAAACGGCTCGGATGGCAGCGATGGTCGCCGCGACAGCCGCCGGAATTCCACCATGTTCATGGATACCACACCGCGGAGTAGTTGGTGGAAGAAGCTTACCGGCATGTAATCTGTGGCATTTTCATGGCAGTAAGTTAGTTGTATGGTGATTGGGATATAGACGCATCACCTTGGGTGTGAGGTGTTGGAGTCGGCATTTCTTTCGGGTTTTGGGGTTTATTTTCTTTCAGCATACCTGTCAGATCTTTGTATGTCTGGATGGTGGCAGCGGCAAGGCCGAGGAGCATTCGCTGGCATTTTTGGATTAGATGGGCCCTTGACACTTGTTTTGTGGCAAGCTGGACGTCGACAGCATATCCACGGGGCATTTCTGGACTTGGTCATGACGGGAACGCTTCATATACCCCCCCGGTGTTTCTTTTCTTTTTTTTTTTTTGTCGGCACAGAAGCGTGTTGGCTGGTTCGGTATTGGCTTGGGACGATACCACACTGACTGTATGCTTGGATATCCATCTCTCAATATTTGTCTATTGCTTATTAGGTAGAAACCCGCATGTTACGGTGGAGAACGGAGGTCGAGATGCATACTACAAGGTATTATATAGTACAGCGCCAGGCGCCAGCGTGTCTTGGTTTGTCTTGATTGTTGTACACTGATAGTCTACTCTTTCGTAACGGAGGCCGGCATTGGAAGGCAATCGCAATTCACATCTTCCCAACGTGTCTGTCCCGATCATCGTCTATTAAGTAATAAGAGTAAAAGGTACTGTCCAGGCTGGCCATTTATATCCCCAGCTCCTAACCCTTCTGGCAGATGCCTATGCCCGCCCCGCGATCCAGGCCAACCATCACCGGCCACCGTCGACACCCCGCCGCTGTTGATTTATCTGGGCAAATGGGCCCGCGCTGGCCACGCGGTTGCCCGCATCTAGCTCGCCACGCTTGATAGTCAAGTTGACGTGTTCCCACATTAAAAAAAAACCCGCGCAGTGGTGTAGTGTGCATGGCAGTTGGAGTGGAGTAGTAGTTAACTCGCCGCCCTCCCAATGTAGAAGAGACCCTTCTTGGACCGGCGGAAACTCGGGTGCAAATCCCGACTTTAGCAATTCGATTTGCGTTTGGGTTGTTTACTTTTTTGGGGGGTTTCTCGACTCTTACTTTTTTTGAACATCTATGTACATAGACGATATATCCCATCCACCCTCCTCTATAGTCCAACATGCGTCTATGATGACACTTATACACGTCGTCCCAAATTCCGCCGGGGAGGCGTTCTCGTTGACTTTGGGATATACCACTGACCTATCCGGCCATCTTTTCCGACCCGAGCGAAGCCAGCTACTTTTCCGCTGCACTGAGAAGAAGCCTGACGCGCCTCTCCTCGCGCCATTGCGGACCGAATTTCGCCAGAAAGAAGAGAGCAGGAGAAAAGACGACCAGAGTCAGCGCCCAAAACGTATATATCCACCCTCTCCCGAGCGACCTGAGCATCAGCTCAATGAGTGCCGTCACCCCGGCGCCCGCCAGACAACGCACAAAATTGTTAGCCGCGATGGCAGTCGCCGGCGCCCCGGGCGAGAGGTCGACGATGAGGGTGTTGAGGATAGCGAAGGAGCCCGTGATGCAGAGACCAATGACGAAGAGCATGACCAGTGGCCCGGTAATGTGCGCCTCGGCTTGCAGCAGCCAGCCATAGCAGATGGTCGACGTTATCCCCGCGACGAGAAAAGGGTAGGCAACCTGAAGACGAGCTTTCTCGATGGGGAACTTGGTGAGGTCGTCGCCGCGACGACGGTCGATGACCATGCCAACGTTGCGTGCTACGCGACGGTAGTTCCAGTCCATGATGTAACCTTGAGTGACTGCAGCGCAGCAGCACCCGATGCCATAGGGAAGATAGCAGAGGCCGATTAGCAGGTCGCTGTAGCGGTATATGACGGCGAACTCGGTCGAAAGCGTGGCGGTCACGACGAGGAAAACGACATATATCAGTGTGCTGTACGTAAACACCAGGGCCATGTCCTTCTCAAGGATGACCCGGAGCGAGTTGAAGGGGTTAGGGAAGCGAAGCTTGGGTTTCGGGGCGCTTTGTTCCACCGAGGGATGACGGCGGGAGCGTATATAGTCGAGCAAAGTCATGTTCCACCCCTGAGCTGGGATGGAGCCGTTCCCGACCACCTTCCTGCTCGTCTCGGGGACAGTGAGGACGAAGGGTATGAGCCAAGCACTGCTGAATATCAGACAGAACCAGAAGATGGCCCTCCAGCCGAGGTACTGAGCCAGAATACCGCCCAGCACGGGACTAGTACCCGAGATGTTGATTCCAGCGCTGAGGATGCCCATGTACTTGCCCCTCTCAGAGCTGACGGATACGTCGGCAATCACAGCAAAGCACAAGGCCAGAGTGCCGCTGCCGCCGGCGCTCTGAAGCATACGCAGAACAAGGAGAGCGGCGTAGTTGTTTTGGAGTGCGAGGCCCAGGTTCGCGCACATGTAGATGGAGAAGCCGATGATGAAGGCGGGCCGCCTCCCAGCCATGTCGCCCAGGTCGCCGTACATGGTGGGACTGATGGCCTGGAAGATCATGTAGGTCGTCAGGGTGAGGTTGATGAGGCCGATAGAGACGCCGAGGCCTCTGGCAATGGGGTTCAGGGCTGGAAAGTATATGTTGGCCGTCATTGGTGAGGTGAGCCCGGCAATGGCAATCATTGTCACGATCCACCTCCTGGTCGCTTTGGAGAAGACGGTATAGGGCGGCCCGCTCGCCACCCTGTCAAGGGACTCGGGGTCTGCATCGACATCGGCATCGACACCGACATCGGCATCAACATCGGCATCGGCATCGTGACTTTCTATCGCTTTGTCGTCGTTGGTCGAGTCAAAGGGGACAACACCATGGGCAATCCTCTCACTGTCGATAACATCTCGAGTTGGGGGAGGCAAGGGTTCACTCGAAGCCATGGTAGGTACCAGCTGACGTGCTTGACAAAGGAACATGTGTGGGAGAGAGAGAGGGGAGGGATAGGATATAGTACCACTGGTACTATATACAGTCATACAGTAACACCGACGGCTTGACCGCCGTGACATGAAAACAAGAGCGGGCGACTGAACCTTGCATGATGGCGACATGCCTACAGTATGCCGGCTGCGAGCCAAAATGGCAGTTGGGCGGGTCTTTAGAGCTTCAGGGCAGACTACAGCGGGGGGGGGGGGGGGGGGGGTCAAACTTGTTATTCTCGGATTCTCGTAGTGGCCAACGTGCAGCAGGCCGTGGCGGCATGCCGTATCTGAAGTGGCGCACCCCAAGGACCCGAGGAGGATTGATCGTCACAGGCGCCGGGCCGGTTTGCGCCGCAAAGCCGCAGTCCGCATTGCGGTATCGGGAGAGGCCCCGTCCACCACGTCGACCGGCGCCGGCAGCAACGAGTGCTCGCTTCTGCGGCTCGCTGCAGCAGGCACCGTTGGTGTGCAGATATGGCGCCTGATAGCAAATTGGATTGGATTGAGAGCTGGTCTGCAGGGGGGAGCGAGGCCGGCAGCTACACTGGATGGTGAACGCTCGACTTCGTGACTTCGCCGGGCCTCCACCGTTTGTGTGCGCGCGTGATGTCGTTGCAAGGGTGCTGTATAAGCTGCCGCCGTCGTCAGCAGAGTTGAACTCGGCGAAGGGTGCCGCACTGCCGAGCTCAAGGCGTCCCGCCATCCCGATCCGTCCCGCAATCCACCGTGAAAGCTTGGCTGTAAGTTTTGTGGTCGACGGGATGATGCGGGTAGCTCGCAGCCACATCGTTTAGCCGCTGCCAAGAGTCCTGAGTGGCTGCACTCAGCGCTCTAGCCACAAGGCGGTAGCTCCGTCATTGAATTTGAATAAAGCCACGTCAAGCCGTTCCATTGCCGACTCCGATCAGACCGTCGATCGAAACTCCCCCGGCCTCCCTAGCACGACAATATTTGCCAATTCACCTAATTGGGAGGCCCGACACCATGGCCGACCTTACTACGGAATTCAACACGCTCCTAAAGGGCCACGAGGCCCCCCCAGCCCGCCGCCCCGACCACACCAGTCCCGACACCGCCACGACCGACGAGTTCCTCAAGGAAGCCTACCGGATAGTACATTTTCCCCATCCCCTCCCACTCTCTGCCAGCCGACTAACCCCTCCTCCCCCGCCCCTCAGACCTCCCTCGTCAGCCAACTCCACACCGAGCTCCGCAAGCTCCGACAAGCCTACCTCTCGACCGCGGCTCCGCGCAAGTCGCACCTGCGGACCCTATCAAGCCGCGCCGGCGCCGGCGCCCCCGCGACCTCCCTGACGGACCGCGACCGCGAGGAGATCGACGCCAACGCCAAACTGACCCTCCGCGACCTCAACGCCCGCATCCGCGCCCTCGACGACGCCGAGCAGCTGCGCCAGGGCACCGAGACCGCCCTGCTCAGCAAGCGCTTCGCGCGCGGCCTGGGGGCGCTGGGGTCGTGGGCCGCCGGGGCCGGGGCGCTGGGGATGGGCAAGAGTAGCGAGCAGGTTGCGGCCGAGGCCGCCGCCCGGCAGCTGGGGGTCCATCGCGAGAGTGTGATTTGGTACTTGCGGCAGCGGCTCCAGGAGGCGGCGAGGACGCAGCAGAAGATGATGGAGACGCGGTTGACGAGGGAGGTGGAGAAGAATAGGAGTGTGCTGGCCAAGGCGAGGGGGCCTGTTATGGCGGCGATGCGGAATGCGGAGAGCTTGGGGTTGAGGAGTCCCCCTGTGGGCGGCAGCTCGACTCTCCCAGGTCAAGAGGAGGGGACAAGGCCGCCGCCGAGCGATGTTACGGCCGAGCAGATGCAAATTTTTGAAAAGGGGAACCAAGATATGCTAAAGCATTTCGAAAGCACCCTGGATAAAGTCAGGTACGTCTATACTCGCCTCTCTACGACCCTGGGGCTTGTCGCTAATCTTTGCCACAGGACGGCTGAGAAGTCACTGGTTGAGATTTCTGAGCTACAGAACCTCCTCGTCAACAATCTCGCCACCCAATCGGCTCACATTGACCAGCTAGTCGCCGAGTCATTCGAGACCACAGAGGGCGTTGGGAAGGGAAACAAGGAGCTGAAAAAGAGCGCCTCGAGAGCCAGCCCGGCCCGCTACACCTTCCTCGCTGCCACGGGATTGTGTGCTGCCTTGGTGGTTTGGGATTTGTTGATTTAGGATAGTAGCCTCATGCATAAAGTGAATGAACAACCACCACAACCTCCGGCACAGCTGGGGAAGGCCGGCAGACTATGTTTACATTTGTTGGCAAATTTTGTCCATGGTGCTAGAGTGCATGGCGAAACCTGATTATTATCTTCTTTGTTATGAAACTCGACCAGCTTCGGGTCGGCGTGCTAAAAACAGGCCAGGGCGAGAGCGTATTCTCCATAAGCTACATCTGCTCATGATTACGGCACTGAGGGTATCTTAGGGGCTGTACACTGTCATGGAGCAAGGAATAGCTTTTTGCGTGAGCAAATTGGGACTCGGTTTACACGGCAATATCGCCTTTTGAGCTGAGATGATCTCATACACGGCCACCATGACAAGTGATATCCTGTCCCATGGGATGAAGCGGACGGGGCTAGCTACATACCACCATCGCAGGAGCCTGGAGCCAGCTACTGAGCCTCACGGACGACGCTGTCCACTGCCTTGGCAAAGTAGTCCACATTCCGTGTGTTCAACCCAGCCATGCTGATCCGCCCATTCTTGGTCATGTACACATGGAACTCGGACCGCAGCTTGGCGACCTGGGCCTCGCTCAGGCCTGTGAAGCTGAACATGCCGATCTGATCCGTGATGTGGTTCCACCGGCCGGGCGTTCCGAGCTCCTCGAGCTTGGCCCGTAGCGCCGTCCGCATCGAGATGATGCGGCCCGACATGGTGCGGAGGTTTTCCTGCCATTCGGCAAACAGCGCCTTGTCATTGAGGACGGTGGATGCGATCTTGGCGCCGTAGATGGGCGGGTTGCTGATCTCGGAACGCTGGAGGATGGCGAGCTGGGAGGCCACGCGAGTCGTGATGCTAGCGGCATCGGCCGACGGCGCGGCCACAAAGTGGAAGCAGCCGGCACGCTCGCCGTATAGGC